CTGTTCCTCACCTGCGTATGCCTCCTTTGGAACGCCTACCTACGTGCCGCAGCAGGCCACCACGTCTGCATATGAACAGAGGCACTCCGACTCGGATCGTCGCCCATCAACTGCTCGTTTCCCATCCCCTCGTCGCCGATCGCCATCGCCTATGTGTCGTCGACCACCTCCTGAGGAGGGAAACTAATCAGTGTAGTTCCAGAGGCAAGAACTGCAACTTCAGCGCGATTATTAAGGCCTCCATTTTCGCCGCAAAATGTTGTTGATGTCGATGCTGAGGGAGTCGCCACACTAGCGTTAATTGATACTGAGGCCGCCGTTTCTGTGATGAACGCAAAACATTTGTCGCAAACTGAAGAAAGTGACCACATCTCTTCGTGGCATGGTGCTGTCCACGGCTAGCACGCAACGCGTTCAGCCCTCGTCTGTGTGTACGGCGCGCGTCATCATCCAAGATGTTTTGTACATCGTCCAATTTTTTGTTCAACCATCTTGCTCTCAGTGACCTCATCCTGGGTTGGTATTTTTATCAGGTCATGAAGCTATCATCGATTGTTCCCGTGTGGAAGTGTCCCTTGTGCCAATGTGTGAATTTCCATCGCCCGACCATTCTCCTCCGCTCTTCAAACTCATCGCTGATGACGACATCACCTTGCCTCCGGAAGCTTCAGTCCCTATTAGCCTTTCATGTGTAGTGCAACCTGACGGCACGGTGGTGTTCACGCCATCTCCGGTTTTTATTGAAGGCAAGGGCATTGTTCTCCCATTTGCCGTTCTTACGATTGCATCTGGTTTAACCGTAATGTTGGTTACCAACCACTGCAACTACCCCATTGGCTTACTCCGTGGTGAAACCTTGGGATATGTACAACCTGTCAACCATATTGATGATATTATTTTCCCCGACGAAGCCCCATGTCACATTGCCGCAATCACTCATGCGTCTGAGCCATCAAGTTCGTTAGCCTTTGACAATGCTATTGACGCAGACCTTCACCCCTCGCATCGCCGCCAACTTGTTGCCCTCCTTAACAAGTTTCACTCTTCTTTCGACTTTCAAGAACCTGCTTTGGGCCGCGTCATGACTGTCACTCGTACTATTGACACCGGCTCGCATTCGCCTCTGCGACAGCGTCCTTACCGCGTTTCTGCCGAAGAGCGCTGCATCATTACGGAGCAAGTAGATGACATGCTTAAACGTGGAGTCGTACAGCCTTCTCAAAGCGCTTGGTCATCACCTGTGGTTCTGGTCAAGAAAAAGGATGGCACCGTTCGATTTTGCGTGGACTATCGCCGCTCAAACAAGATTACGAAGAAAGATGTCTACCCGCTACCACTAATAGACGATTCTCTTGACTGTTTACAAGGCGCCGAGTACTTTACATCCTTGGATCTGCGTTCTGGGTATTGGCTGGTGCCAATGGCTGAATGTGATCGCCCTAAAACCGCCTTTGTAACGCCGGATGGCCTATATGAGTTTAAATTCATGCCATTTGGCCTCTGCAACGCGCCTGCGACATTTGAGCGCATGATTGATACCATCTTGCGTACCCACAAGTGGAAAACTTGCTTGTGTTACCTGGATGACATCGTAGTCTTTTCAGCTGATTTCCCGACACATCTTGGTCGTCTCCACGAGATCCTAACGTGTCTGACTTTTGCAGGCCTACAACTTAACACCAAGAAATGCCACTTTCGCAGCACGAAAACTAACCATCTTGGGATATGTCATCACAAGAGACGATGTTCTTCCGAATCCCGATATGCTTGGAGCTGTCGCTGACTTCCCAATTCCCACATCACTGAAGGCCCTAGGAAGTTTCATTGGTCTCTGCTCCTACTTTCGTCGCTTCGTGTGCAACTTCGCGTCCATCATCGCACCTCTGACGAATCTGCTTTCCAACAGCAAAGGTATATCTGCATGTTCACCTGCATGTGACGACGCATTTCACCAGCTGCGCCGCCTGCTGACCACATAACCTATTCTTCGCCACTACGACCCCACTGCTGCCACAGAAATTCACACCGATGCAAGTGGCGTCGGTCTTGGTGCAGTTTTGGCACAACGGAAAGGCACCCAAACCAAATACGTAGTCGCTTATGCAAGTCGCGCTCTCAAGAAGGCTGAATTGAATTACTCCGTGACAGAGAAGGAGTGTTAGGTCATAATCTGGGCGCTGACGAAGTTTCTCCCTTATTTTTACAACCGTTCTTTCGACGTGGTCACAGACCACCACGCTCTATATTGACTGTCCACCTTGAAAGACCCGTCCGGACGCCTGGGGCGTTGGGCACTTCGATTGCAGGAATACGACATCCGTGTCGTATATCGTTCCGGTCGCAAGCATGCGGATGCCGATGCACTTTCTCGATCGCCATTAACACCAGATGTGGCTTCTCTTTCACCCTTTTTTACCACCTTGTCACCACTAGACACCACTGACATGCTTTCAGAGCAGCGTAAAGACCCATACCTTGCCTTGTTAGTCGACTACCTTACCGATCCGTCTGCTGCCCCTTCCACGAGAGCACTGCGCCGGCAAGCAGCCCACTTTTCCTTACGAGACAACATTCTGTACCGCCGCAACTACATGCCTGGTGGTCGGAAGTGGCTCCTTGCTGTCCCAACTCATATGCGCTCTGACATCTGCTTGAATTTCCATGTAGATCGCCAAAGTGCTCACGCAATTGTCCTGAAAACTTGCGAAAGGCTGCGCCAACGATATTACTGGCGAGGAATGTATCGCTTTGTGCAGAAATACGTTCAGTCTTGCACAACTTGCCAACAGAACAAGACACCTCCATGGCACCTTACTGGCATGTTACAGCCGCTCCCGGGGCCGGCTCGCCCATTCGACCGCGTGGGTATTGACCTCTATGGCCCCCTTCCATATAGTGACTCTGGAAACCGGTGGATTATTATTGGCGTCGATCATCTGACATGCTACGCTGAGACTGCAGCTCTACCGGCAGCGATCGCCCACAAAGTTGCACTCTTCATTCTCCGCAGCTTCATTCTACGCCATGGTGCTCCGCGGGAATTACTCAGTGATAGGGGTCGAGGGTTCTTGTCGGAGGTCATTCAAGCTATCCTCGCTGAATGCAACATCATCCACCGGAAATCTACCGCATACCATTCACAGAAAAATGGGCTCACTGAGCCCTTCAACCGCACACTTGGCGACATGTTGCGGATGTAGACCTCCTCCGACCACACTAATTGGGACGCTGTATTACCTTTTGTTACCTTCGCTTATAACACCGGGACGCAAGCGACTACCGGGTTTTCCCCGTTCTTTCTGTTGTACGGCCGCGAACCTTCTCACCCACTCGACACTATACTCCTGTACCGCCCTGATGCATTGGAGTGCTCCCCGCTTTCGGAAGTCGCCAGATACGCTGAAGACTGCCGTCAGTTGGCTCGGTCTCTGACTAGTGAGGCTCAAGGTCTACAAAAGATTCGACATGACGACGTTCACCACATAGCTCCTACGTTTCGTGCTGGCTCTCTTGTGTGGCTTTGGGTGCCCCCGCACGTTCCTGGCCTGTCTTCTAAACTTCTGGCCCGGTACCATGGTTCGTACCGTGTCATTGACGCGGCCTCCCCGGTGAATTACATTATCGAGCCACTAACACAATCACCAGATTCGCGCCGTCGAGGACGTGAGACCGTACACGTCGACCGTCTCAAGCCCTACTACGACCCCCTCATTGTGCCTGCTCCCTGAGTCGCCAGGATGGCTACTCTTCACCGGGGGGGGGGGGGGGGGGGGTATTGTAGTGGAGCATACGCACCAACGCGTATGCGCCTTCGGAAGAGAACAAAAGCCCCGTGCTCTGATTGCGCGAGAGCGTGTGCCGGCTTTGCCAGACTTGCTCTACAGCCATTTTTTGTTACAACCTCGTTGCGACTTCTCTGCTCGAATAAACATCATCACACCTGTATTGTTATCTGCAGGCAAGATGCGAGATTGGGCACTAATGGTCAATCATCAATGCAAAAGCCTTATATAGTTTACGAGTAAAAAAATATGACATCCAGCGTTGACAGCTTGAGTGGTACCCATAGTCACGCATGCAGTGCATGCCCACATTTCTCGGGCAAAAAGAAAAAAAAAATTATATTAAAGTGAAATAAATTTAAATTAAACTAGCAAGTGTGTTCCAAGTGATTCAAGGTGGTCATCAAGTGCACAAGGTGAGTCAATTTCAATAAAAGTAAACTAGAGGGATGCAAAGGTGAACTAAGAGAATGAAGTGCATTGAAGTTCATTATGAAATGAGGTTCAGCAGTAAATAAAATGTAACATAAGCCTTCAAGTGTCCTGTGTGTAGCGATAGCCGAAGGGACTATCAATCTGTGCAAGTTGTAATAGAAAGAAAAATAAATGGCACCAATAAACGTGAAATGGAATCTACAACGTAGAGGTATATCATGCAGGGCTTTTCAGACCAAATATTCTTGTGGTTGAATGCCAAATCGAAGCCCTAGATTTTTTTTTCTGCAGTTGTAAAATCGCATTCGCCCCATCGCGGTGGTCTAGTGGCTAAGGCACTTGGCTGCTAACCCGCAGATCGCGGTATCGAATCCCGGCTGCGGCGGCTGCATTTCCGATGGAAGCAGGAATGTTGTAGGCCCGTGTGCTCAGATTTGGGTGCATTTTAAGAAATTTCCGGAGCCCTCCACTACAGCGTCTCTCATAATATGGTGGCTTTAGGTCGTTAAACCCCACGTATCAATCAATCCATCAATCAAAATCTCCACATTCACCACTCTTTTGTGCATCTTTAATGATAGAATGACGGTCCCGCAAGATGCTCCCCGTGACGCTGGTGATGTAAATAGCTTGGTAATGGTCTAAATAAGATTTGGGTTTTGATAAGGCGCTGAGGTGTTATCTCCGAACTTCCTGGTGCAAATTTATGGCCGAGGTTGGCGGATCGCCGCAGCACGGTATCTTGGTCTCGCAACACTGGAGTGATTACGCGGGAAATGGACACCTTGCGGTAAATAGTAAACACGTGAAGTGGACGCGGACGTTCCTTCTAGCTATGCTACTCTGTCCGCGTTTAATTAGAACGTGGTAAGCTCTGGCTCTCGCCCTAGGGCCCCAAGATGAGCCCGCCGGATGGATCGGAGCACAAGCCGCTCCTGTTCGAGGACGTCAAGTTCTGCCTTGCCGACGACCTACAGGACGACGAAGAGGTAGGTGCGGCTGGCTGCAATCCGCGAGTAATAGTTAACGAAGTTATTTGCCTCATCTTTATATACGTAGCTCGCCATCAGGGGAGGTTGTTATTCGATCTGAGCTGAAACGTTGATGAGTTGCGTACTTTGGCAGCATCGAAACTTGCGGAGCAGTCAAATCTCTCCAACGCTACTTGAAAGCACAATGACGCGGCCTGACATTGCTGTCAGTGACGACGTTTGTGTTGATTTGAGTTGATCCACGCCATCATCATTCCGCATTAAGGCAAGCCTTAATACGACGCCGTGGAGGTACCGCCGAAAAAAAGAGAGGTCTATGCATTGAGGTTACTCGTGCATATCTGAGATTTCCACTTTATATGGCTCTTTCGCTAACTTCGAAAGCAAGAACTGCGTAGAACGAAGGCTTGCGCTTCGGGAGATCGTTCTAAACACTACTTTACGGCATCACGCGCGTGTTGCGCGCCATTTTCGATTCGCACGGGAAAGCCTCGAGATTCTGGTTTTGTAAACATTTATCAACTCGATGAACGCTTCAGTTCCAGAGACTCCTCGTCAAGCATGGCGGCACGTTGATAAATTATCTATCGGACAACGTCACCTACGTAATCGCCGACAATCCCGACAGCTCAACCATCACCGAAGCCCAGGATCTTTATGAGAAACCTGTTGCAACGGTGAGAAACTGGAAATACCGAGTCGTGCCTCTCCACAAACACTTCAAAGTGAAGTTTGTAAGGTTTTATAATTGCATAATTTATTCGTTTTCAGAGCTCATGGGTTCGTCTTTCGCTCAAATGTGGGAGGCTTCTACCGTATCCTTTTTGTTTACTGTATTTAAGCATGCCCGAAGCTTCACCGTCATTACGCAAAAGCAATCTTTGCTTTCAGGTATCTCGTTGAGCGGATTTTTGTGCACCATAAACCTTAGCCTACACACACACTCTCTCTCTCTCTTTCTTTTTGTGTAACCTGCTGCGTATATTCCACTCAGGTAGGCCGAATTTCCTAGTAAAGCATTCTTGGTGGTGCATTGTTGGTAGTGTTATTTTTACCTTGGCGAGTAGTGTGATCAGGGTTTATTATGAACCCAAGGAGCAAATGTTGAAAAGGTTCGAAACTGTGAATTCCGTTATTGGGATATAGTTGTTGTTACAAACTGTTAGAACCAGTGTAGCTGAACGTGCCATTGTGGGGTTGATGAAACAGAGCGACGTTTGATGTTCTGAAATTGCCCAAACGAGGTCATGCTGAAGTATTCAGATTAATCATGATCTTTCGGGGCTTTTAATATGCTCCCTAGTCGCAGTGTGTAAACGTGCTTGCATTCTAGCCCTGTCAGAATGTGGCTTCAACAGCTTGAAATCAAACCCACGGCCTATAGCTCAGCTGTGGAATTTCATTGCTGCTGTGGTAGATGTTGCTGGTGTTGGTAATAAAGCAGACTGCTTTTATATTAAAATTTTTTGAGGGATTGATGATGTAAACTGAGAAGTTTAAAAAGCACAAGTGGTGTGGTAGTTTAGTAACTGCACTAAAAGTTTTGCTACGCCTTGAAATTACATCTTGGGCATGTGGAATTTAAGAACACTAATGTGCTGTTATATTATTAAATATGCTGTGCATGTGAGAGAATCCCACGTGTTGCGTGTTATATTGGACAGATCTTCACTGCAATGATTCTAAGCTGTAGACTATGAAACATGTAGCTCAAGGGCAGTTGCATGCTAAATGCTTGGGAGTAACACTGCGATATGTGGATTCTTTGAGGATTGAATTAGTTACTAAATCTAAAGAATCTGGTCTGCGTAGTTTCAGAGATAAGGAATGCTTACCTTTCAGCAATACCAAACTGGATGAAAAAAGAGAAAGAACAGTTTCTGCATTTTTTTTCAAATTAAGCAAAAGCAGTTGTGAGCCTTTTGCTTACTTAAACAAGTATTGTTGTTAATTGTTGCTATGTATTCACTATTTATTGCCTCTCTCAGTAGGTGATTTGTGCGTTTCCCTCAGTTTATAGTTTGTTAACAGGTCCACGAGGCATTGCAAAATAAAATACTGGAAAATTACCAATAACAAGTGAAGTATGTAATCTAAGGAAGCAAGCACGGCAATCGGCACTGGCACGAGCTCATCTAGCGCCACAAAGAGGAGAATGAAGTTAAAATAAGAACAGCCATCCCGCATCAGGGGGCTATCTCTTGTTTCTCTTTCTTCATGACAATGGCGCAGCCGGTGAAGACTGAAGTCTTACATCCCAGTTTTCTCATTCATGGCATCCGCCAAGGTGCAGCCGCGGTAAGTGCAGCTTGAGGACGGCATCCAGGCCTCCTCCTCAGCATCTGCTCACCTGCCGCCACTGCCACCGCTGTTAGGGGATGACGTCGAGGCTCCTCGGTAACTCTACACCACTGCATCTGTACCTGTTCACGACAAGGAATGCTGTCCACGAGTCCTCAGCTGTGGATTCCCTCCACCGTGAACACTGGGACGGCCATGTACTCTGCAAACTACGTCCATGGTTCACCGGGTGCCTCATTTGACAATGGCAGGGAAATCTTACGTGCCCTAATAACACTATGTTGTCACATCGACCACCTGTCATTGTGGAACTCTGGGCTCTCGCCTGCCGCCTCACAATCACCGGGCTGGTTGGGCAGTGCCGCTGTTACATGGTTTTCAGGACGTCTTCAAGTGGATTTCGACTGTCAGTTCGCTCGGCACCCTTCATGCCTGGCCAAAAAAAATCACAAATGCCTAGTGGCCATCGACCACCTTCGAAATGCTGCCAAGGCGTGGGATGCCTACGAAGGTGTCACTGCAATAGTCCTGGACCGAGTGGTGTGCAAGGCAGATGAGTATTTTTTGGCCACTTTTTGATGCTGATTACCCCTTTCCTCTTGTTCAAGACATTTGCGTGAGCAGCGAGGAACGTGACATCGACGGTACAATTCGGGTGTCGATGAATCTAGGTGCCCTCCGTTGGAGATCGAGCTCTTGTGGTGCACCCTCAATTGCCCGTCAGTTCCCTCGAGCCTCACAACGGATAGCTCCTGTGGCTGCTCTACCAAAGACGTCGAAGGCATGAGCTGCACTCCACTGCACATCTCTATCGGTGCACCTGTATCTGACACTATAACTTTGCTAGCGGAGGCCGAGACCACTATTCATGCAAAGCAGATAAATGAGCGAGCTCCAGACTTGCTGTCGCAGGGACACGCACAGATGCTGCCTCCTGTCGTGCTTGGCATGCCTCCAGTACAGGCACCGGAAGAACTCCTCTCTTCCACTGCCGTCCTCGCCGGCCGACTGGAGCCGCTTCCTCAGATAGATCAATCACCTACTCCATGTCTTCTCGATCACCTTATGGTACAGGCTACAAAAAAAAAGGAGAGGGCATTTTGACAAGGGGCACCCACCAAAACGCTGCCACGACATGCCTCTGTCTGCTGGGTATTGTGGCCACGAAAATCAAAAAGCAGCCTCACAGCCGCAAGAAACAGGTCGGGAACACACACCCGGAAAGCATAACGACCCGGTTGCCTACTCGGATGCTTGTCTGGCATCCTCCTCTTGGTGCGCCACGTGCCCCCCTTTCTCCACTGACGCGGCATCGCTTCGTAGCCCAGGTCTACCACCACGACAAAGCCAATGTCGCCCCCCAGAATCTCCGTCAGTTGGGCTAAACAAGCTGCTTTCACCACACACCTTACCGTCACAAAATTGACCTCAGCGGCACAGCCAAAGCCGCTCTCCAGAGTTCTCTTTGCAAGAACATCCAGACCGGCGGCAACTCTAAAAAGATCGACCACCGAGGAACAGCCAGTGCAGACCACCAGATATGATTGCCACAGGTGACGACTATGTGCTCATGACTGCTACAGATGAGACATTGCCGACAGAGCGACATACTTGCAGCATGTCCGAGTGTAATGAAGCAAGCGCGGGGCTCGGGCACTGGCGCGGGCTCAGCTAGCGCGACAAAGAGGAAAACGAAGTTAAAGTAAGAACAGCCGGCCCGCATTAAGTGTGCTGTTTCTCTTGTTTCTGTTCCTTCGCGTCAGTAAGTAGTTTATGTTAGTCGTACAAAATATTACCAAAATCACTATTGGAGTGCGCCATAAACATAAGTGCACCACATGTCATTTGCCCAACATATATTGCATACACAATGCAACCGTTCAGTGCTTATAAGGACAGGAGATTTTATTAGCTACATTGATTGTCTACTGTGCAATATTCTCTAGTTATCCCACTCTAATTCTAATGTATCTTATGCTCAATTGTGCATCTTCAAGGCAGTTGCTAATTGCTCTCTGTGAGGCCATTTAAAGTTTCATTATCATGGGAAAAAGGCCTTTGTAACGTAATCATTCACTCTTAGACTATCTTCTACTTATTTGGGCATCGTCGAGCAGGCTTCACCTATCTATATCTGTGCATCAGCTAGTCTTTCCTCATCGGTATGCATACTTTCTTAGCACCAGTGTACTCCATCTTCGAAGAGACACCGGTATGAAACGGTCACTTCGCAGTCGGGCCTGACCCAAATCAAACTTTTGGAACACGATCGGTCTCCCAACAGAGGCTGCAGAAAAGAGTCTATCACTTTCGAGCAGTGTGATCAAGGTCAGGTCTAATTGCGATCAGCAGTGCTCCATGTGACTCAAGTATAACATTGCATCACAGCGAAATGCGCTGCATACAAAAGCAGTGTCGCCACTATGTTCATTAATGTAGGGGTTCTGTGCCAAGTGTCCCATAGCACAGATGTTGAGCAGAGCAGTTCAAACCAGTTGTAAAGTCTCAGCAAGAGGAAATCAAAAAATTAAAAGAAAACTTTCCTGACATGACAACTGAAAGCTGTGAAAAATAGAAGTGAGATTCGCAAGCTGTTAGTTTCTCTATTTGTGCAAACAAGCACGCACTTCAATCAAAATTGGGGTTTTTATTTTGTTTATGTCTTGTCTCGTAGTGCTGGTGTATTAATATTTTGTTAAAATTGTCTGCGTTGCCTGTTATACCACATACTAGATGTGAAAAGAAATGGCTACTCTGTGATGTTGAAGAACCTTGACCTCGTTCTGCAGTCTGGAAGCATTTTCTCCTCACAAGAACCAGATTTTTTCAAACACAGTCGTCTGCCCGTCCCAGGCAAGTTTGTTGCTCTTGTTTTGTTGGCCTTTACATATATACGCATGTTCAAGCAGCATGTGTAGAACAAATGAAAGAAAAAAAAAATGAGTACGTAATTTAATAGCAGCGATCTCCTCATTGATATGGCCCAAGTGCGGGGTCTAAGTGAAAAATTTGTCACACAGGCTATAAATCGTAAATCGAAGTATAAATTTTTAGACAGCTTTCGCATGAGCTGTGTAGATTCTAATGTAGTTTGCTACAATTTGATTTATATCTACTACCGCATTGCAGCAGCTAAACCTTACCACAGCTAGCGTGAGCAGACATTCTGTGACTTGTTCTCGTTTTAAATCCCCTTGCTTAACGTGGTTGTATATCTATGCGTATGCTTTCAGAAAGAATTTGTGGAGTTGCTCTTTTGCTTTAATTGGTTTTATTTTTGCAGCTCTCGGTCGAGGACATGAAAAATGTGTGGGCCCTGGTGACCTTTCACGGTGGCAAGTTCCGAGCAGTCCTGGACAAGACTTGTACACACCTTGTGGCCACCAAAGCAGAAGGGGTATGCTGAAGTGTTTTGAAAAAAAAAAAAAAAAAAAATCTTTTTAATGCCCCATCTTCAATCGATTTAACTTGCTCATGAGACACTGCTGGGTTGCTTCCCATAGTGCCAATCACGTATGGTACAGTAAAACCTAGTTAACTGAAGGTCACTGACGTTGATGTTATGACAAGAATGCCACATGCTGGCCAGGTGTCCCTGATGTGTTGCAGTGAAGCATGCCTTCCTTTTCTGCACGCACATAGGGTATGCCAGCTGACCACAAGATTGCCTTTTTCTTTTTTTTTCTTTTTTCACTGGCAGCAGCGAAGCTGGGTGCTTCACCTTGTCGCTCATTAGTATTGCTACATTGCATTGGCTTGTGGCTCCTAAGGGCTGTCGTCATTACGAATTTGAAGTGAAATTGGGTATTAGCACATAGCACCCAAAGTTTTTGAACGAACCAGACTGGCGCTGTCTGCTGCGTCAAATTATCCAGTCATACTGACATTGCAAAATATGGGACTGCAGAAACTCTCCGAATTAAGCAGGATTTCAGAGTTGGAATCTGCAAGCAAAATTATGAGCTAGATTGAAGGCTCATATTACTCCAGTATGGTAACTATCATTCATAAATTGTTCGATTGACTAGTTTCTAAGATCTCTGAGTGAGTCTCGCATTTATGATGTGAGTATGCCTGAGGCACGTCTACTCTAAGCCGATTTTATGTCGTGCTTTTGCTCATACGGTTCATGCTTGAAGGCAATTCACACTTCCATTTATGTTAATGGTGGAAATCGGTGCAACCTCATGTGGGCACCGGAGGGTCGATGCATACCGGTGCAGGTGCATGTATTTTATTCATTTGTTCATGTTAATTCGTGCTGTTTTCTTGTGTCACACATATACACAGACTTGCCTGAAACATAGCATTTATTTAGTGACGTCCTAGATAGAAAATTGTAACAACCCACTTGTGAGCATTTTGGGGTTGATTCACGTCGATTTCAAATATAAAATGTTGTGCAGGGTTGCTCTCGTTCTACACAGTGTGGTCCTACACTCTTATACAATCTAAAAAGTTTTGATTCGGTAGTTCTTCAACGAAACAACTAAAGGACATGCTGCGTACATAAAGTTAGTGGCTTGGTATACATCTGAATCTGAGAAACCAAGGGTCCTGGTGCAGTCGCTCGACTTTGGGACCCTTGTCTGCATGTTACTAACCATAAAGTTTTGTATTTTAAATGAATAATAATAAACTGAACTTCACCTTATACTGAGCATCCTTGTAAAATTTCATTGTTGTTTTCTTCTTATCAAAACAGGTAAAATATCAGAAGGCCATGGCTGCTGGTGGCCCACAGCTGAAAATTGTGACTCCCGACTGGATCGCAGACTCCGTGAAGAACAAAGCGCCCTGTGACGAGACACGTTACCACCCTCGGCTGTTAGTACCACCAAAGCCCCCTACGCCGCCAAAGCCACCGACCCCTCCGCCAGTGCCAACGCCTCCCATGACGAGCACCGCTGGTTCCCTCCCGCAGCAGCAAGGTTTTATGAGCTTCCGTGCGCAGCAACAGCAGCAGCAGCAGTTCGGGATGGTACCTGTCACGCAGCAACAGTTGTCAGTGTCCCAGCAGCAGGCTTTGACGTTGCAGCAGCAGCAGATTCAGCAGATTCAGCAACACTTGATGCAACCGCCCTCCTCGCAGCAGCAGCAGCATCTTCAGCAACATCTTGCACAGCTCCAGGTTTCACAACAGCAGAACCAGCAACAAGTGACCCAGCAACAGTTGCAGCATCAGTTACAGCAGCAGCAGCAGCAGTTTCAACAGCAGCAACAGCATGTATCTCAGCAACAACAGCAGCAAATGGCTCAGCAGCAGCAAATGGCACAGCAGCAACAGATGCCTCAACAACAGCAGCAAATGTCCCAGCAACAGCAGCAAATGTCCCAACAACAGCAATGTCACAGCAACAACAATGTCACAGCAACAACAAATGTCTCAGCAGCAGCAACAACTGTCTCAGCAGCAGCAACTCCAACAGCAGCTTCAACAGCAGCAGCACATGGTACCGACCTCTCAGTTTCCGACCCGCATGGTCAACGTATCATCATCAAGCGGTGACGTTAAGGTATCTCTGGCAAACAATCAAGGAATCAGCATTATGACCATAAACAAACAGCAGCTCTTGCTGCAGCAACAACAGCAGCAACAACAGCAGCAGCAGCAACAACTACAACAGCAGCAGCAGCAGCAACAACAACAACAGCAGCAGCCACCGGGCAGTGCCATGGTGCGGCCGGATGGTACCATGGTGCGAGCCGATGGCACTGTGGTTCGCCCTGTCACTCAGATGCAGCTGATGCAACAGAAGCAGCAGTCACTCCAGCAGATGCAGCAGCAAAGGCAGCAGTTCCCACCGGGCATGCCTGTCGTAGTATCGCAGCAAGGTGTCGTGACCCAGCGGCAGGTAAGAAAAGCATAGCACGAGCCATTTTTTCACTTCTAGTATTCTTCGGGAGCTGGACCACATAAATAATACATATCATTCGGTTCACCTATATAGGCATACGCTTTACAGTCCACGCAAAATTGAGCCTCGTGAAACGGAAGTTGGGCAAATTTTCACCTACACTATTATTGGCAACCTAAAAAACTATAATCAGTCGATTTCTGGAATATGGTGCCGCTGTTGTGGACGCTTTCCACTTGGAGAAATGCAGAGAAGCTTTGAAAAAAAGTTCCAAGATTACAGTGGACTCTTTGTACAGTAAACAAAAGTCTTCTAAATTAAATAACTGCCTAAATGAAACAGAGTCTCCTTGTATAATAGTTTTTTATATCAATTCATCTCTCGGTAACCAGAACTGCTGTCATATGGAACATATTTTACTGGTCCATTCAGGTTCCGTTAATGCGAATCTTCTGCTGTTGTCTGCTATGTCTACAAGTGGATAAAATTGCTTGTTTATGCCCTTAGCCCTGTTGGTGTTGCCCAAACTTGAAAAACTTGCTCAGACAAGGAAAGCTGCATGTCTTAGTTTCTTGAGGTGTGTGTGCACACAGAGGGGAGATATGTCTCCATCTACCAAATAGTATTTTCCAGTTGTGTTGTTTGAAATAAGATAGACATGAAGGCAGCTGCTGTTACAAGTCATTGGGTGAGCTTTGGAGCATTAAATTAGACCTCATGCTTTCGAATTAGCCATTTTAGTAGTTGCTACAATTAACAAATTGGTTGCTGGAGACAAGCGGCTGCTGGTCCGTAACTCTGGGGGGTCGGGGTGGTTCTGACACCTCCCCCCCATAATTTTTTCTTTTCTTGCTTGAACTTTTTGGGCAATACTAAAGTAGTTACACGCTTTCGCATCGACCACCAGTTGCCAAATTTAACTGTTCTACTAATCAACACCCCCCGAAAAAAGTTTCTGGTACAGCCCTGGATGCCTGCAGCACGTGATGAGCAAAGAAATGTACTAGTAGCCATAGAAACTGGCAATGCTTGCTTTCCTGTTTCACTCCCTGTACAGAAAATTCTTGTGTTTACGCAAAACAAGGCATTCTGTGCCACATGCTAATAGTACCTAACTATTTTACAGAAAACTTACAGGCTTTCGTTTTCATGGCATGCTTGTAATCCTTGTATAATTTATCACTTTAGACGGTATTACAACCAACCTTCAAAACTATGATGACTGGGGATGGACTTGTGTGATAATTGGTGATTTGGCTTGCAGTAAATAAAAATTAGTGTAAAATAATTTAAAAGTGAAAAGAGGCATTTGCATAAGACCTTGAAACAAGTGTCTAGTGTTGAAAAAAAAAAAACCTGTTTCTGTTTTAAAAAAACTGAAAACAATTTAGTCTGTGGAGTGAAGTTATGTTCAGAAATATTAAAATTTGCAGGGGTTTTATATATCAAAACTATGAAATGACTGTGATGGATGCTGTAGCGAAGAGCTTTTAAAATTTTGACTGCCTAGGGTTCTTAACGGGCACCTATATCTAAGCACATAGGCCTCAAGTATTCTGTCTCCATCGAAATTCGGGATTCGATCCCACTACCTTTGGTTCAGCAGTCATGCACCATAACGATTAGACCTCTGTGGTGGGTATTTTGAGAAGTCATTTATTCAGATATTTCGTGCAAATGTGCAAGTTTAATGTTTCTTACAGTTCATTGTGGCGCAGATACTTGTTGGCATGACTTATAGCATCGTAAATGTGCGGTATAGTTCGGCTTTAAAGTTGTAACAGCCTCCCACATTTACCTGTCATGGATCATCACAATTCTATGAACCACAGCTTTAACTGCATGGTGCAAGTAATTTATGCAATATTGCACTTCACTCTCAAGTAGACATGAGCTAAACTCATTCCGTTGCGTGAGCAAATATATAGGTGAACGGGGGACCTGTACGTCCTACTTCTGTGGTCCGCAGCCTCGGCAGCGTACACGATCACGAGTCCTATCAACATAGTGCAGCTAACATCTTGGGATGGGCTGCCATCCTCAGTTGCATGTACCTTTGGTTTTAAGCCTAGCCGGTGCTACCTTATTCTGTGTCTGCCGAAACATCCTCCAAAAATGCCTTAAATTCTTTCGTGAATGTGATTGTCTTGCAACAATAATTGCCATCTATTCTGTCTGCTTCCCTATTTTTAACCCTGCATGCCCAGTCTGTCCAGGTAACAAAGGAAATATGCGTTACCACGGTGACATGGCATTCTTGACGGGGAAGCAGTAGTGAGCTCACAGTTATGAGGAAACATAGCATGGACCAGACTAATGACTGTTACTAGTGTGGAATATAGATACAGATTCAAAGAGTTTTCATTGACTGTTTTGTTGCGTACTGAACAGTGCCACAAGCTTATGAAGTGTGTTTATGATGACCGTAGAAATCTTTGATTGAATCACTTTCAGTCATCAATTGACATGCTTGAAGAAGTACATTTTCTTCACTTTTTGCCTGCCATGCCGCGGTATACAAGCAGCCATGCTGTTTTATTGCTTAGCTCAGTCGCATTTCCTATTTGGGCAAATTTAAAGGGAGAGAAAACATTAAAGAAAATGCAGGGAGGTTAACCAGTGGAAGTCTCTCGTTTGCTATTCTGTACTTGGGAAGGGGAATGAAAAAGAAGAGCCTTTGATGAGAGTGAGCTACAAAACCAAGTCCTGATTGTACACACGAAAATTGTCAGTGTAAAGCCGGAATTCGTCATACAGTCCGGTATGTTGCAAGAACCACAACATTGCCCTTAGCAGAGTGGCTTGCGCTGAAGACTACATAGGCTAGTGATCTAAGATTTCTTCTCTTGGTAAGGTGGTTGTCCAGGTGGTTTAGTGTCGCTTAGGAGGACCGCGGTGTCGTAAATAATTAAAATGGGTGCACTCATGAAAAGTCAGTTTAAAATGCTCACTTAGATATAGGTGTATGATAAGGGACCCGAGGCAGTTGTAATGAATCCAGAATCTCGTACTGCTGCTGTGCTGAATTGTATTGTGTGCTGTGGGGTGACCAACCACAGAACTAATCTATATTTTTCTCGCTCCTCCCACCACGGCAGCCATGGCCCCATCAGGGTGGTTTGCAGCTGACAGCCGCAGCAGATAATGCAGATACGCCAGCGGCAGCTGCAGATGCGTCACCTGACGCCCCAGCAGCAAGCAAATTCTGATGCAGAATCTGCAAAGGCAGCAACAGCAGCAGCAGAGGCCCCTCACCATGCAGCAATTCCAGCAGGCAGTGCACGCCGGTCAGCAGCAACCTATGCAAAACCTCCAGCAGGCACAGCAGCAGCAGGCACAGGCGCAGCAATCTCCTGGAGGTGGCCAGCCAGGAGGCGCACAGCTGCTGAGGCATCCGCAGCAGCAGGTGCTCATTCAGCAGATGCAGCAGCGTCAGGGCATGCCTCCGCGAATGCCTCCTCAGCAATTCCAGCAGGCTGTCCAGGTAGGTCAATGGATTGTTCAAGTGCACACTTGTAGTGGTAGCAAGGAGCAGTAGAGGAAGAAGACCAGAAGGGTAATGGGAGTATAGAAATAATTAAAATGAAATGATGATGTACGATGCTTGCAGTTCCTGAGCAGCTGTGATAGTAGTGTTTTGGGTGAGTGGACTGGTGCAATGAGCAACAGCACTGCAGCACTACTGTAACGTTCCAGTGTGGACGTGAATGAAGATATTGTTGCGTGGATCCACATTGCTTAAAAGAATACTTACTGAACAAAATTTTGCAGCCAATATTTTCAGCCAAATTGATAGATTGAATCCTGAAATTGATAGAGACAACCTTCATTTCAAGCAGAAACTATGGGAAAATAATGAATTTAATTGTGTTTTTCACAAACTGTCGAAGCTAGCGGCAGGGCCGTTAACTAGAGTATGTGACGTTGTGTGACGTCAAGCTCACTGAAAACTGGCAAGCCAACAATGCCAGCCATCGCCCGCGTCCCTTGACTCACTCATCTTCCACTGCGGTTCTCAAAACCGGTATGAACAGCAGCGAACAATGCTTCTGGCTGGGGCAAGGCGCTAGCGCTTTTGTGGAAGTGAAGAAGTGGAGTGAAAAGACAGCTAGAGAAAAGGAAAGGGAGGACAAGAACACGTGCATCCTGCATGCGCTGGGTGAGTTTGACGTTACTGCTCGCGCTTGCGAAGTAGTGACGTCAAACTATGTCGTGCGCTCACAATCCATCAAAAATACAACCAACAGTTCGAAAATACAAAAAATAAACTCCGTTTATCGGAACAGGGGCATCTTCCGAGTGGAATTTCAGAGCTTTGTTAGTTTTTTTAAATATTTGTTCAGTATCTCTTTAACATAATGAACCTAATGAACAAAGAAACGGAGCAGTTCTTGGTGAAAACTCCTGATGATTAGGAGCAAAATGCATGACGAAAGTGGCAGAAGCCTCACTGCCTGACGGTATACACGGCATGGGACTGGCTAGAAGTTTCTTTTTTAAAGAGGATAGTCTTTCTTGGGGACCTTTGACGCAAAAAGTTTGGTCTCTCTGTCTGTACATTTGTCTGTTTGTCCGCCCTTAACGGTACTTTAATCCACGATGTTAGAAGTATCGGTGGAACGACGGAGCCCCACCGCCACGTGCTTGCTGCGCTCAATTTTGGTTCCTCTGCTCCACCGCGCTGCGAGATGGCAGGAGCAGTCATGTGGCTCTCAGTCGTGCGAGTGGCGAGCGGGTGCCGTTAGACCACGGTGTTTTTCAGACAAAGCAGTTGTCAGGCGGCACTCTTGTTTTCGTTGTTGTTGTTTTGTGCGTGCACGATGAGAGCCATGCTGTTCGTGTGAGCAAGTCGTGAAATGGTAAAGAAATGTTTTGCTTGAGTGCTATAAGTGCTAGAGTCCTTTCTGCAATGGCTCAATGATTTGGAGGAAGAAGTGAAGGCAGGACGAATCACTCATACTTTCTTTTTTCATGAACCACTGCTGAGGGCTTGCGAGTGACTATTCTGTCGACCATTCAGCTGTCAAAGTACTTGTTGAAGAAATGCGACTTCAAGTATGTGTTAACTGCAAAGTTAACGAAGATGTTCTGGAAAAGTTTTTTGGTGTTACGCCAAGCTGGAGGCCAAAATGAACATCCCTGCTTGCTGACGTTCTTGCACTTATACAGCATGCTATCCATTTACAGCCGCGTAAAGCCACCCAAGTACGGGAATTGCCAGTTACTTCCTAGTGAAAAGCGACGTCGCGTTGGCTTGCGTGATTTAACGTCAGCTTTCAAGGAGGATCTGGCCAGCCAGTCACGCTTGGATGAGCTTAAGAACAGGCTTGACGGATTGGTGCAGGATGAGATTGAGTGTGACGATGTATTTAACTCAATGCCTGCATCAGACAGTGTTACTGACTGCATAATTTATTATGTATGTGGGTTTCTTTGCCGAAAAGTCCTAAAAAGTACAAATTGTTCTAAGTACAAGCTTGGACTGACTAGGACATCTGATATGTCGATCAAGAGCTGCATCAGCTCTTGTAGCTTTGAAGACAAGAAGAGAACTTATGCACCCTAATGCCGTGCTGTTTGATCTTTTGAAAGAAGCTGAGCGAAAATTTCGGCAGCATGCTGGCGATAAGGAAGTGTATGGTTTGACTATTGACTTCGTGTTAGGTATATAACTACAACCTCTCATTTCCATGTAAGGAACATAATGTAGACATGATGGCACAAGTGCTGCCCTGTTATATAGGAGTGCGTATGTGCCAATATAGCAAACAAATGAAAAAATGAAAAAGAACGAGGCAAACAAGTCTCATAGTTTGCACAAGCTTTCGAAACTAGTCCAGTAAGTTGCTTCCTCGAAGTAAAAATGTAGAGCTTTCGTTTTTCACACGTCTCTTCAATACTGCTTTCCTTTTGAGTTGAAGTGCTGTCGTATTCATTTTGTGGCCGTTTAGATATGAATGCATCTCTACATCCCTTTAATAAAATGTGCCGTTTTAGAGTCAAGAGTTGCTCCATTGCTTTAGAAAATCTCTGTAGACCTACATGTGCCGTTCTCCTTTCCTCGAGCGAGAACCACGCTTGTTAACAATGAAAATATCTGCGATTTTATGCACTGAAACCATAATATGAATATGAGGCCCGCCGTAGTGAAAGACTCCGGAATTTTCGACAATGTGGTGTTCTGTAACGTGGACTGGCATAGCAGAATGGTGTTTCGTCTGTCTCGTCTTTCGTTTTTCCTCACTGTTTTTATAATTTAAATGCGTACCAAGAAGCTCAAGTTCACACGATTCTGATCGCACAGCACTCGGACCTGCTTCATCAAAGTGCGACCGCCGCAACAAAAATCGAAATTACGTTTTTCTACTGCAGGACTTCAACTAACAAGGCATTTTTGTCTAACTACTATGTAAACATTACTTCAACAAAGAACTAACTTTTGTCATAATTATATGAGACTTCATTGACACATGTTTGAATTCAGGATCTGATGTTTGTGAATGCAAAAACATGCTTCTGTCACGAACCTTAGATGTGGTAAATTGAACATTTTGAACAGATAACTGAACATTGAACAGATAACTGCCAGATGGCGCTCATGTCTCACGTATGACGTGACTTGCTCGTTAGTTTCCGCTGCACGCTCGAGGCACTCTAATGCAGCGCCTCCAGAATACCATTCACCGATGTTCTTGCGCAGAACATCAAATAAACGTTTTGTTCACTCTCTCCAAATTTCGTCTTTTGACGACATTTGCAGTGTAACATGCAGATACAGGGCCAATTTTTTCTTCTTCTGCCCTTTCTTAGGGCCAAGTGGCTGGACAGCAACAGCCTCAGCAGCCGCAGCAACAAGCACCGCCACAGGCTTCTCCCAGTGCGGGTCAGCCGCAGCCGCAGCAAATGTTGGCTGGTGCGCAGGGTATGGCCCCGACCCAGCCATCACCGCAGGCTATCATGAAACCGCCACCCCAGTACCCTTATGCAGCTGAGAGGCCGCTGGTCCGTCCGCCGTACCCGCCACAGCAACAGCCGCAACAGTCACCTGGACCATTGCCTCAGCAGCAGGCTACCGGGCAGCAGGTGTGTTGTAATGATGATGGTTTGTGGCAGACTCTGTAATTTAAACTTGAGGGGACCTCAGAATTTCATTTAAATCACCAGTTCGCGATAATAGGACTTTGAGCAAAATAACCAATTAGTGTTGCAATCTTTATTATTTCTCACTGCTGTAGCAACATCATAGACAGTTCTTTCTGTAGTTTTTAGACAGCAATCGTACTGCTGCTCATTAGTTCACTGTGCGTGCATAAATTTGCAATTGAAGGATGAAATGTGTTGTGTCCCTTGACAGTTGTTAATTCTCATTGTTTAGACGATGTCCCGCATGACACCAGTGTGTTGCGGCGGAAGTGACTTCAGCAAGAGTTCGGCACGCGATTTGAAGAATTCAACCATGCTTTTCAGACACGACAGCCTGGTTCAGCACAAAGCAGCTAGTGTTCTACATTCGCCGCTTTAGCTGTGAGCAGTGCTGGCTGACACTCCCACAATTACAGTTACAAGAATACCCATTGAAGTGGAAGGGTAATTTCTATCTATCATTGCTCACTCGGTAGAGCATTGGATGCATAGTTTGAAGATTGTGAGTTCGAATCCTATTGACGGACAGAATAGGTTTTGTCCTCTTTAATAATCTTCATTTTAAGTTATTATTACTGCATTTACGTTAACACAACAATGAAGGGCCCCTGTGCTTTCTCTCATTGAATATTCTGTTGATAGTTTGGTTGTGTCTAACGAATGAACGAGTCCCTAAAAAATTCCCCTTTGTGAAGTTTTGTGCACTTGGTACCATTTGGCGAGTACTGTTCAAGCAAGAGTCTGCCCTTGTACTCTTGCAGCAGATGCAGTGGGCCAACTTCCAGCAACAGCAGCAGAGGAAGACTCCTGACGGTGGTGTTCCCGCCTCCTTGTCACAGCCGCAGCAAGCAGTCCAGTGGCGACCAACCGCAGTGCCTGCCGGCGGCGACGAGCTGAAGTCCAAGGTTCCGCAGAGTCTCACTGGGCAGCCTCCGGTGCGTCCCGAGGGCGGCTTGCATCCCCAGCAGCAGGCGGCGCTCTGGCAACAACAGCAGCAGATGCAGCTCCACAAGGTAACATCACTATTGTGCCGTAAAAAGAATCGTGAATCGTGCAACTTAACAGGACATACGAGAAGGAACGTACGAGTATAGGTGCACACTGACTGATCTCGCCCTGATCCTGTAATTGTCTGTTCCTTCTCTTGTGTCCTGCTTAGTTGTGCAATTCACGATGGTTTACTATATCAAAGCACCAACTCGCCCAACTGTAAACTCTTTCAAAATCACTATTGTTAAGCGCACCATAATTCCTATGACCTAAAAAAAGTTATTTTAAGAATAAAATGTCAGCTCTACCCAAAGCCATCACACTCCCACATAGATCTTGTAATCGATAGCCCTTACTCATTTTTGTGACGTCAAGCACGTCTTGAATGTTTCAAATAGCTGGCTATCCTATACAAACCCATGTTTGGACCACTGGATTTAGGTCAGAAACTTGCACGTATTGGTCAATTTAGTCAGGGGTTCTGACATTGCTGCTCTGCCAAATGTAATGTCTTCAATAGTAGCAATGTACCTTCATCTTTTACTATGCCTAGTATTTACATTAGCTGAGAAAAAGTACAGTCGAGCCCACATATAACGGCCCCACTTGAAACGAACTTTCGCTTAAGACGAACCATGTCCACGTGACCGTGAAAATATACATTGGTTCTATGGCACAAAATCGCACTTACAGCGAACGTCTCCGAGCCCCGCTGATCGGTTACAGCAAACGGAGTTGGCGGTCTGTCGACTTCCCGGGAAACCGATTTCGACCACCGATCAAGCATTGGCGAGGTGCCCATACATTCTTATTGTTAAACGCCGACCCTGCCTCCGCGCCCCTCTAGTTGCCGCTCTCCCCGACCACTTTTTGTTACGCACCCCTTTGTCCTTTGTCCCCCCGCTACTCTGAGCACCCCGCATCGCCAGACGAGGCCCGTGTTTTCACACTGCCACCGATCTTTCGAAGACCGCTTGGCCATCTATTCTGTTTTTGATCGCTGGTACTGTCGTTGGCGTTGCCGGCCTGGAGTGACTGGACCGTTTGCCAACATCGTCGGCCACCAACTGTATCCGATAGTCTGTGTCTAGTGCACGCGCGTACGCTACCCCACCGACTCTGATAATTCGCGATTCGTTTTGTGTTTAGGACTTGTTCTCACTCACTTCGCACTCAGTTCAGCAGCCTTGCGCTTAAGTGTGGAAGTGCGAAAATGGCTTTTAATTTGTGTGGAACAAATCGCTAAATATGGAATTTTGTGAGGGCACGCAAACCCGTCGGCGCAACAAAACAAGTTTTTGACCACGGCTTCCAATTCTTCAAACACTACCGCGCGCACTGATCCAGGTGGCCGTGCTTTCACTTCTGCGCGCACAGGCACTCTTTCCAAGTTTTTTTTTACGGGCCAGTTTCACAAACCTTTCAAGCAAGCTACCCAACCTGCCTCCTTCCCTTGTGTTTTGGTTTTCAAGGTCGCCCTCCCGCCGCATCCTGCCCTCTCTTTATCACAACTCTTTGCTCTTCTCTTGCAAATCTGCTCTCCTTTATGATCACAACCTCTTCGCCCACGGAGGAAGGAAATGCCTTCGCCCGTCTCCACCGCACTGCGGCGCCCGCCACGCTGGCTCGAATTAGTTTCGTTTTCTGACTGGAGACGGGCCCAGGGCTGTTACACGCGTTCTGGCATGTGTGTAGCGTGTGCGCGTCTTGCGTGCGCGTCTTGCTCGCTCTTAATGTGCGTGTGTGTGATGGCTGGTGGGAGGACTAGCACGCTTTTTCCTGCCGGTTAACAACAGGTCGAAAGTGTGACCGCTTGGCTTGAGCGTAACCAGCGCGTTAGGTGCCGCGTTGTGGAGCGCTTGCTCATAGCTGTTGACCACCTAGCAGCCAACTTGCCGCTTCGGGCATCCCGGTATTCAGCTGTGGAGATGGTGAATATTTTGTGGGTGGCGGTGACGGCTACATGCGCGCGAAACTGTTTTGGCGAGGCCAACTTCGTCGACGTTGGGCCCGATGCCGAGCCTGAAGCTTCCAAACAGGACCACTGCGGGGGCGATTTGTGGCAGCGCGTTGTCGACTCCGACTTCGGAGAGCGGGTGGGACATCTGTTGCGATGGCTTAATTACGGCCGATGATGATGCCGACACTGCGGTACCGTGCACGGGTTGGGGCATTGTGAATGAAGTACGTGGCGAGAGCGATTTGAAGGAATGGGATTGCGAGAACGACAAAACTTCGGATCCAGTGCCTCATGCACCTTATGCCACGAGCCTCGGTGAACGAGCACCCTGCCGTTTCAAATGAACTCGAGACCACCTTTATCCTCTTCGAGGATAAGGGTGGTCTGTGATGCGCGTGCTCTTCGAAACGCGTGCATCACAGACTTTTTCTGGCAGGAAAGGTTTGTGTTTTCACTCGCAACTTTTTTTAAAAGCTGTGTTTCATTTACTACGAATTTCGGGATACAGTGAACAGATGTGGCCTCACGCTCAAGTTTGTTATAAGCGAGCTCGGCTGTATTTACAATTCTCGCGGGAACCAACTATACTAGCATGACTGTCATCTACATGTGAAGAGTAGGTAAGCTGCATTTCTGCGGCCGAAGCTGGCATTTTTTATTATGGTCAGCATGCACGTAGCTAGTTTTTTTTCTTCCCTCCAGGAGGGGCCCAAGGTTCATTTCTTGAAAGAAAGTCTTTTCATGGTAAATAGAAGGAAAGTTTCCCAGGAATATAGAAGATGCTCAATCAGAAAATGATGAGAACAAAGTGGAATGCTAGACAAGAGGCGAGTTAATCAGCGATGGAAAGGAAATTTTGGCACTGCAGTAAAGCTAGTGCGTGTGCACCAGAAAAAGTGCTTTTCTACCAAATAATATCAACCAAGAAGGCCCATACAGCGTCAGTAACTGGAAAAATGCTAAAAGGGCCCTTGGACACTATTGAAGCACATATTTTTTATTTGCGGTTTGCGTAGACTGATGGCAATAACAGCTGGACTGGCAAGAGTAACGTGTCTATTTAAGTTCTTAATAGAACACATGTAAGCATCGTGATACATTAGTTGAAAGTTGTCTGACGAAGTTTGTCATTCATTTTTCTAAGCAAACAAAACGCAACATCAATATCTGCGTGCCCACACACACACATGCAAGCACACATGCACTCACATACACGCACAAAGGCACGCAGACTATGGCTTTCCAAATAGCTAGCGTGCCTTTGCCCTCGGGCTGGTATCCTCATTGCAAACACCTCAAATTTTCGCTCACGTGCGATGCTGCTTTTTTGTTCCGAACAAAAGATGCCGACACCAGAATTTCAGCGAAATGCGCTGTTTAGTGCTGTTGCATCAAAATGCGACCGCTCTCCAGGCCAACGCTTGGTGCTGTCAAAGCATTTATATGACAAAAACACTGTTGACAAATAAGCTGTATATAAAACTAGGAAATTAATTTTGTTACAGCAGAGTCACAGTGTATTAATTTATTTGCGTTCGTGTACATGTGTATATCGATCGTAATTAACAAGCGAGGCTCCACAGCCATAACCTTCTACATGCGAATCGAAGTCGCTCCCCAGTGAGCGCCTTGACCCATCCTTCGTGAGCTCCATCTGTCGCGTCAAACGAAAACAGCCTAGGCGGCGAACACAATCTGGACACGCTGCCAGGCGAAGTGCCATCACCTAACTTATTCTTACACCGTGGTTTTCACAGCTCGGCATTACTTCACTGCAGTGAAAGCGAACTAATATACACTTGGATGGGTGCTTTCACAATTTAGCAGCCCTTCACTGCAGTGAAACCATCTTTACAGGGTGTCACCTGCAGGTTTAATGTGCACCTATTTGTTTGTCTCAAACAAATACAAGTTTTCAATAATTTAAATTCGATTTGAAGCAAATTCGAATACTGCATCATTCATTCGAATATTTGAAGCATTCGAATATTCGCACAAACGTGAAGTATAGCATTATATATTGCATCGGAAGAACACCTGTCCATGACTGAATGCTTCATTGTGAGTTGTGTATAAACCAAATACAGGCACAACTCCAACAACAGCAGCAGCAGCAGCAGCCCGCACCTGCGGGTGGAGGAGAGCCACCGCCTTCAAACAGTGCCGCAAGCCAGGGTGTGCCCACCTTGCAGCACCAGCTGCAGTGGCAGCAGATGCGCCAGGCTGAACTTCAGCGCCGACAGCAAACTCTTCTCCAGGAGCGGCAGATGCTTCAGCAGCAACAGCAGGTCCAGCAGGGGGGGCCCCAGCAGCCGCAGCAACAGCCCTACATGGTTCAGCGACCACCTCCGCCTCAGTATCCTGGTGAGAAATGTGGCTTCGTTACGTTTCGCTATACACCGACCCTTGATAAATGAATCTGGATACACTCAGACCTCGATGTAACGAACCCTAATATAATGAAATATTGGTTATAATGAAGTCAATTTAAAATAGTCTTGCCAATAGATCGCTGACTATGCTAGACCATTCGTGGTGATAAGAGCGTCTCAACGAGTTGAGCTATAAAATTGCACGCCTCACTGCCTATGAAAGACGGTCATCCAAGACCGAAGTCACACATATAGCATGCCTGAAGCCTTTTGCTTATTGACGTTTCAACTAACTTCTCGACTAGTGAACTTCATCTGTAAGGGGAGCAACTTTAGTGGGTCTAGTCTATAGTGAAGGAGACGGAGCAACAACAGCAGCAGAGGTAGAAGAAGAAGAACGACGTGCAGCACTGGCTGACCCTCGCCGTCCAGCTCATTGTAAATGAAGCTCATTTATAAACTCTGTAAAATATCACTGCAAATTTGTTGACTCAGTGTATAACCTTTGTGCACGTTTGACTCTGTGTGTTTACTGGGTGATTGCAGGCGCCAGCATGCCGGGACCTCGAGATCAGCTCACAGCAGTGGGTGTGGCAAGGCCGACACAGAATGCAGCCGGTATGGTGCAGTTCCAGCAGCAACAGCAGCAGCCACTAGTTCAGCAACAGGTTAGCACTCCACAAACTCTTTGACTGGTTTGTGTAAGGCCACAGTTGTTACTAGAGCTGCGTAGCTGCTGCTTTGATCAGCTCTCGTGTGTCTCATTATTGTGACCCTCTTGATTGAATGGATAGGTGAAGAAATCATGCTCAACTTTGTGGAAATCATGCTTGTCAGCACAAAAATTCGTTGCTGTCTGCACATTAAGTGATGTCAGCAGAAAAGGAAGCACGAACCACCCAAACTTTGTCATTCTTGTTACGCAGTAAATGTGGGCTCTTGAGGGTACTATGCACGGCAGCTGGTTTCTTGCACTGTATTCAATAGAAAGATTGTGTTAAGCCATTTTTATAATTTTATTTAATTCGAAATTCACCGAGTTAGTGCACTCAAACCTTTTTATACTAATGAAGTTTAAGGGGGAACCATAGCTGCTTCACTATATCAATTATTTCATTGTATATTGTCATTATAATAAGGTTCAAATGCGTTCACTCATCCCTAATTGGCTTTGATTACAGTAATGTAATAAGTGCCCTACAATACTGAACGAATTCTATCTCTCTTGTGCTTTTGCAACTCTCTTTTTTCTGGGGCAGGTTCCTCCAACGTTTTTCATCCCTGGCAGAAGTCTAGACCGATGGCGTGCCGTTGCTAAATGCTTGAAACATGCTACCCGTCGTAAGAAGGCACGAGAAGTCTGCACGACACCGTGCTGAATGAAAATTTTGATTATGTGCATTTAAATGTTGATGTAACAGTTGCAGAACGCGTTTTTCAACCAATGGTTCGACATGTGAAAACGAAGCGACAATTTAGCGTTGAGCTGATGCCTCTTGCGCCTTGTTTGAAGAATACAGGTAGAGTAGGGAGGTACTTTGTTGGTGCAGCAAAGCAGTATGCTAGGCAACAGCGTAAGTTTACCTGATAAGAATTTGATGATGCTGGAACAACATGGATTGTCATTGCTGCCAGTGTTGCACATCGGTGTTGCACCAATACAAAAAAAGGGGAGGGGGGGGGATAGAAGTAAGCATCTGTATAACTGTGTGTACGCGTGGACCACTGTACACACCTCGGTGGAGTCCACAGACAGCTCAGTAGCACTTGTTGCCAAGCTAGTCTGTTCTTATCATCTGGTGAATCCTAAATATTATGGCTGCTTAGTTCAACACGACAAATTGTGAGGCAGGGACAATCTGAACCAGAAACTATCAAGCGCACATTCCAGAACATGCATCACACTTTCTCATAAAAATATTCATCAAGGGAAGTGATAAGTGATGCGTCACTGTTAGACGGATGCTCCTAGTTTCAGAAGATGAAAGGTCTATTACCTAGTTGTTATTCACCTGTGTCCTTACCTTTTACCCAGGCTCCTTATTTGGTCTAGTCCACGGTCCACGTTGATGTGCTTGAAAAGCGGGCAGGCACACGTGCTTCTCCAGTCCTCACTTTTTGAGGACGGCTTGTGTTCTTGCTTATGCTTATTTGCGGAGTGCCCGGTCTGGCTGACATTAGTCTTGTCACAGTATCGTTGAAACACATCCCATTTGTCGATTTGCAATGATGAATACAGCATCCCGACCTTCCATTCCACCCCCCACCCCCCCCCCCTTCCTTGATTCTCGGTGTTTGTCTGTGCTGCACCAATAGACAACAAATACCAAGCTTGCAAAGTCTTTCTTCCCAGTTGTTACATTGATGTTAAAAGGCTCACTGGGATGCAAAGAAATTTTGTTGCATATACAGTCGTGGCCACATATAACGGCCCCACTTAAAACGAACTTTCGCTTAAAACTAACAATATCCGCGTGACCGTGAAAATGTACATTGTTTCACTGGAACAAAATCGCACTTACAATGAACGTCTCCGAGCACCGCCGATCGGTTTCAGCGAAGGGAGTCGGTGCTCTGCCGACTTCCCGGGAAACCACTTTTGACATCCGATCAGGCATTGGCAAGGTGCCCATAGATTCTTATTGTTAAATGCCGACCCTGTCTCCGCGCCCCTCTAGTTGCCGCTCTCCCCGACCGCTCTTGGTTATGCACCCCTTCGTCTTTTGTCCCCTTGCTACTCTGAGCATCCTGCTCAGAGTAGCGGGGGGACAAAACACGTGCTCTTTAAAACACGTGCGTCATAGACTTTTTTGAGCGAAAGATTTTGTGTTTTCACTCGCAACTTTTTTAAAAGCTGTGTTTCATTCACTACGAACTTCGGGATACAGCGAGCGGATGCCGCATCAAAGTCAGGTTTGTTATAAGCAGGCTTGACTGTAATAACTGATCATAAGCATCTGTGCACCCATGATGTTCAATCACTATCATAGTGTCTCAACTTATTTGAGAAAAATCTGTACCTCGATTTGCCATTGCACGTAGGAGCAGAATGCTGTGGAAGTCTTACAGCACTAGAAATGAATGATGGCATTCTGGGCTCTGCTGGGCGTGTGGAGCAACTTTACAGCACGCCATGGTATTTTCACAGATGCGTCACATAAACAGCTACTGCTAGCTAGCCAGCTGCTTCATTGTGCATGATGAAGCAGCACATCTCATTTTCAAAACAGTTTAGCATCTTCATTCAGCAGTGTCTTTCACACTGTGTTACTAACATAAGCAGGAGACGCAATGTGGATTTCAAGTATCATTCTGCTAGTTACAAAACAGGCCTCCTACTCTTAATTGGCACATATTTTGAAACATTCGATTGTAATCTTGCGCACATACTTGGATGAAATCTCGAGCAGTTGTCACTGCGCATAGTTAAGCACTGCCTACGTGGTCCCACCCCTGCGATGGTGCAAACGAGAGCTCTGTTTGCTTCCATTAGTGGCACGATGTGAGTGGGACAGTTTTTTTAGCACCTTCATAGAACCTTCATTGAGAATGAAAAAAACCTGTCGTGTGTCTAGCTTGCCGGTTCCGCACATTTCACAAAGTGCCCATTATCTCCTCTGTTTCTGCATCGTTAAAGTTAATATGATAATTAAAGCTGCTGACAAGATAGCTCAGTTTCGGAAGACGAGCTTGACTGTGGCAATAAAACGATAATTATGGCTTCTTGCTGAACTCATGTTGAACTCCTGACTGTACTAGCTTAACCTTGACAGGGAAAGAGAAGATATTTATATACACTCAAACCTCTTTATGACAAAGTCACATCTCTCATGCAAATACTTCGTTACAGTAGAATCTCAATGATATGAATTTGGAGGGAGCACGCAAAATGTTCATATCATCCTGAATTCGTATGAACTAAAAACAAGTTAAAGCTGATCATGAAGGTGAACAGGAACTTTATTGGGGTCAACTACTTCTTGCTGAAAAAAAGTCCATGGTGTTCTTTTGAACTTTCCTGCCTTCACCACCTCTAAATGCTTAATAAGTGCTGTGGTTTCCTCATTCATGCTGCTGGCGCTTAAAGCGCGTTTACTTTTAGCATCAAAGGGAGGGAAAGGGGCAAAATTGCCCGTTTGTATTATCCGCAGTGGCTGAGGAAACTGTTCGTATAACACCGAATGACAGCGTATTTTGAGTACAGTTGCCAACCGATTTTTTGGACTCCAAAAATTCGGACTTGTTGGATATTACGGACTTCAAAAGTGCAACGTCAGGGTTTCCATAGGGCTAATGCATTTTTTCTATTTTTCAGACGAATTCGCCCCCTAAAGTTGGGTTTTTCGGACTAAATCGCTTGTTTTGAGTCGCGCCATGAACCTGTATGGACGCCGCCATGTTGGATTTTCTGCCGGCTTGACAAAGCTTAGTGGCTTAATTTTAAAATGGCTTTCCTGCCTCCAAGATTGGAAAGCAAACGTCGTATTTCAAGTTTCGGAGGCCGTGTCTGCTTTAGGAAACGTGGCACGGGATCATTTTCTCGTCTTTGGCCAGCCGTAGGGGTCAGCACTGTCGTCATCGCACCGTACAGGGAGTAGGCGGAGCTGCGCAGTAGTGGAGTGAATGTGCTTGCCACAATGACTTCGCTCGTGCGGACGATGACAATTTCGTGCGCGGAGCCCGCAGACAAAAAATTCTTCGCCAGGTTGTGCCGCAGCCGGAGAGCGGTTCAGATGATGACGACGATTGCCCGCAGCTGTCGGCAGTGAAGGTCACCACTGCGGTGACGCTTTTGTTGAGCATTTACGGTGATGATGTCACCTTGACGCAAATATGGGCGAACCAAATTGCTTCCAATCGTAGTATGAGGCAAGGCAAAATCATAGACTTTTCTAAGCCTGCCTGATGCAACAAAGTTCATATTTCTGACAAAAATGAATTTTTCGAACTGTTCAATTTATCGGAATTTTTTTCGGTCCTTGCCAGGTCCGAAAAATCAGTCGGTGACTGTAGTGTAGTCCATTCGAAGCAACCTTAAAATTCGTAACATGAGATTCTACTGTGTGTATAAAAATTCGTTATAAGCAATTATTTGTAACACTATCTGTCACAAAGCTATTCTTAAATCACTTTGTCGTAACTGATAGTTCGTTATATAGAGGTTTGAGTGTATGGCCGAAGATCTATTATTAGTATATCACCAAAATGCCATTACTATACCCTATAACTTTTTGATACAACATCCGCCATAGCCAATCTTTCGCTTTGAGGCGTGGAACTCCTAGAATATTTGAAGGTGTATATTTCACTGACGCACTAGTTTGTGATTAGAGAGTTGCACTGAATCGCACACAGTGTTAATGTAGCTCAGTTCTGCTGTGCACAAGTGTCTCGGGAGAGCACCATCTGCATTTCCCATCAAGCCCCAGTCCTCACATTGCCCCTTTCATCACCATGTCTGCTCTGTCAGGTGCCTTTTGTGGGTGGTCCACAGCCCCCAGTGGGGGGTTCTGCCGCGAACACAGCGGCCGCGGCTGCAGTAGCCGCGGCCACACTGCAACAGCAGCAACAACAGCAAGCCGCAGCGGCGGCAGCAGCAGCAGCAGCAGCAGCTGCGGTGGCCGCAGGTCCCAACCCTGCACAGGTCACACCCAAGACCAAAACTGCT